GAGGGTTGGTTGGGTCAAGGTGCCAAGCGTCTAACCAAGGTGCCAACAGAGCCTTGGGTGGTTCTCTCCTCTGAATCGTCTTGAACCAGAGTTGGGAGTCTGGACGCGATCTCCTAACGATGTCCACCACCAACTTGTGTTCCTCAGGGTAGAGGGCATCGAGAGGGTGAGGTGGAGCCGATGGAGGGGTGGAAGGGGAGCTTGCCTTGGACTTGATCGAGACCTCCGGCGTGGGGGCCGCCGGGCTTGCGATCGCCGTTGGTGCCATTGCTCGATATTTTTTAAGTGAAACTGCTAAGATTTGAGTTCCTTCTTCTGTTCTTACTTTCCTTTCCTCAGAGTCGCTCTCTTTTGCTCGTAACTTTTTTTTTTTTTTTTGGCTTCCGAAGGGTATGAGCCTGGTGGCTGTAGCGAAAGTGTAGTCAGGGGAAAAAGGTGGAAACGGATTTGTTGTGGGAGGGAGGTGGACGGTAGGGGAGAAAGTGAGGGATTTGTCTTTATATAGCACGTACTACAATCATCATCACACGACTGGCATGACGAGAGCGTTTGGCTTGCGTTGATAAACAAAGTGGTGTAGAATGCCTCTTTCTCTATCCACTACCTCGAGAGCATGTGAGCTCTCCGCGGCTAATTGGCGAGGGTAAACCTTTTCCTTGGGGGGATGGAAGCTCCGTCTACAGGGGGGGAAGGGGTGGGCCAAAAACGCTCAGCTGACAAGGTGGGTGGGAGGGGAGATAACAGGAGTGTGTTACCTTTTTCATTCTCCCCTTTCCGATTGGCTCGCTTCTTTTGGAAGAGCAAGTGGGGGAAGGTGTTGCCTTGCTTATCTGATGACCATGTGGGGGGAAGAAGGAGATGCTCTGTTTTCGCCGTTATCTACCCACACCTGATAAGGGTAAGGGAGGTTCTCCCACACAGCCGATAAGCGCGCGATTCCGATTGGCTCGTCATTCCCCCCCTCCCAAAGCCAAACAGCCTCCACCATCACAACTTGACCCCCAAACCAGTTGAATCCCGCTTGGAGCGACACTCGAAGATGCAAGACTCACCCTAGGGGGAGCAACTTCGGCTTCCCCTTCCCCTTTCTCTCCCCGCCGGACCTTGCGTAGTCCATCGGCGTTCCCTCGTGATCCCTCCACCCCCCATCCGATTGCACGATCGTTCGTATGGATCTCCTGAAAGTCCGAGTCGCGTCAAAAAACAAGAGAGGTGCAACGAGACCGGCTGACGAATCTTCCTGTTCAGATACCGATTCATGTTCTTCCCTCCTCTCCAAACAATGTCGACTCTCTCAGCTAAGAGGCTCGCTCGATGCTCAAAAAAACCTCTCTCTAACTGTAGTACATCTCGTATCGTCTCCTCACCTCTTCATCCCCACTTCTCCCGATGGACGAGGGGAAACAGAAAAAGTCAGTCAGTCAATCTTTCTGGGCTCCCCGATACGCGAAGGCGAGGGAGGATGACTCACTCGAACCTCCACCGGATCACCTTTGGCTCCTCGTCGAACCCTTCCACTTCCTCTGGCGTTTGCAGCGTCTTGAAGAAGGAGTCGATGGCCATAGTGGGAACCAACTCCCTCCTCGGCTTTCGGGCGAGCGAGGCAAGTCAAGGGGCGGATTCGGCGAATCTCTTATCAGCATCCATCTCATCGAGCTGAGGGGGTCTCCAAATCCAGGATTTCCAGATGAGATCCTCGCCACCAACGATCCTCTTCAACTCACCTCGTCTCGAGGGCCAGCCCCAAACGCTCTGAAAAGGTTGTTGTGGATGCATCGCTCCCTGGTCAAGTTGAAGTGGAAGCATCGGATCTTGACCCCTTTCTTCCTGGCAAGATCCTGAGAGAACAGAAAAGGAAGAGCGGGAAAGAGAAGAAAATCTAAGTGAAAGTTTCAAGCCAGAAGAGGATCGAGTGAGGCCAACCTTTTCCCTTCTCCCGCCTTTCGAAAAGGTGCTCACAATGTAAACCTTCCTCGTGGCCTTGTCCCTGTTGGTGTTGTCTGCAGGGAGGAACGGAAGCAGAGGAAAAGGCTCGCAGCGGATCAGATCGACCTTCTTCTTCGATTTCGATGGGAAGGGGCAGGAGGGTGAAGCCACTCACCTACGACACAGCTCTTACCCTCATCGATGGCCTTCTCGACAGCCTTGACGCACTTGTCCCTCGACTTCAACGTATCCTGCCAGTGACGAAGGATGCAGGGGATCGTTGAGAACGCAAAAGGAACGTAGGTGAACAAAGAGGACAAAGTCCCTGAAATATCCTCACCTGATTGACCCAGACGTAGTCGTCCTTCTCAAAGTACCTCTTGTAAAGGGACGTCTTTCCCGAAGCTGGAGGTCCAACAAAGAGGACCACCTCTTGAGCGCCATCAGCCCTTACAAGTGGTGTGTCGGAAGGGTGGTAGAAAGGTTCTGCGATGGAGGGCAAGTTGGGGGGGATCGCAGTTTGAGAAATCGAGTTCCCGATTGACAAGAGTTAAAGGAGGATGGTGAAAATCCCCTCCCACTTTATGACAGGCTCACCGGAAGGTTCCTCCTCTCCCAACCAGTGCCTCTCGGGAGTAGGGAGCGGAGCCTCCTTTCCGAGAAAGTAGTGCTCTGGTGTGTAAAACCGAAGGCCGGCGTTGAGGGCCCACTTGAGGTCACCGTCGCTGTGGTCCTTCACCCTTCTCCCCGACCCTTTCCTTCCGGCCGCGTCGCCGACGTAAAAAGATTTGGACATGTCCACCTCGATGCCTTGCTCCTTGAGCTCCAAGAAGGCGTGCCAGGATCCCAGCGCCGGCTTGCGGAACGAGTCGTGGGCCAAGGCTGCGAAGACCCTGATCGGAACCCCGATGGCTTCTGTGATGTGACCCAGCTTCTTCTTCCACGTCTCCAAGCCCCCCTTGGCTGACGTTCGTGACTGCTTCTGGTTTGAAACGATGATGATCGTCGCTCTACCAATCCCCAAACGAGTAAGAGCATATATTCCAGATAAGGAAAGGAAGGTGGTGGTGGATTACGATTTCGGGAAGGGACCGATGACAGATCGAGGTGTAAGCAGAGCAGGAGATGGTCTTCTACAGAAGATTGCGATGCTTTCGAAACATGAGATGGGAGCCAGACACCCTTCTTCTCTTGAAGAGGGTGTCGCGAATTCACCTACCCTGCTTGATGTTCCTTCCGCAACTTTTCCACGACGGTCGGGAAGACGAATTCAAAGTCGTACTCGTCCTTGGGGTTGGGGAACTTCAGTTCAAAATGGCAATGATTGAGTGAAATGACAATGATTGAGATGAAGGAGAAAGAGTGAGAGACGGACCCATTACCCAAAACTTGAGAAATCGAAGAGGAGCAGTGGCTGGCAAGCGACCAACCCATGTCAATCTGCCCTCCACTGCGAGCCACAGGAAAGCAGGGAACACTTGTGGATCGAAAACGAGATGGGGTAGAGGATCAGGCACTCACCGTCTTCCCCTTCAAAGGTCTGATCAAGGTCCCATCGAGGTCAAAAGCGGCAACGTAGCTCTTCACAGCCATCTTCGACCCTCCATCGCCAGACCCCTCGGTTGGGATCCCAAAGGTCCCGTGAAGGCAACTACCCTCCTCTCCTAGAGGTTCCTTCCACACCAGGGCTCCACTCGCTGAGACTTGCTTCCCAGATGCCGCAGAGGGTTTGTTGACGGCTCGTTTCGTGAAGATGGAAGCCAGCTTTGGCTTCTTGGTCTCCCTCGCGTGATCCTCGCCCGCTTCCCGCGCCTCAATCTCGGCCTCCTCATTGTCGCGCTTGGATTTCGCAGACTTGCTCCTTTCAGGATCGGGAGCGCAGTTTTGGAGAACAGGTTCTTCCACCTCGGTCTCTGAGCCAGAGCTCGGCCCGTAAACCTCCTTCTTCTTGGCCATGCCAGAGAATCCGCTGTTTAAAGCTGGACGGCTGGGTGGGGTCGAAAACAGGCTAAACCTGCTGTCTGTTGGCGGCGTGAGGATACGTAAGAGGGGTCGTCCAAGGGGGAGGGGTTGGATGAGGTCGGGACTGATCAGTCTCCGCCGGAAGAGCCTCAGGGTGGGGTTTCTCAAAGTCGACAAAATGGTGAACCTTTCCCCTTTGCCTCCGTTTCGTTTCCTTTCTTTACTTTGATTTGGGTGGATGGGAAGAGTTGCCCAGGATGGCAGATCCGAAGAGGGCCAGGGATCGCGGATGGAGAGGCGCAAAGCTCGAAGTGAAAGAGGGGTGGCGAAGGTAAGGCGGGAGAGCGAAGGACGAAGATGCAGAGTTGGGGCTGATTGGTGAAGTGGTAGCGGAGAGGAGAAGCGAGAGAAAAGAAGAAATAAATCCATAAAAAAATAACAAAAGAGAGGTAAAAAATGACTCCACAAAATGGTCGGCATGGTCAAAGCGCCACTCCCCGCTTTCCTCACCTCCGCCATCAACAACTGGACTTTTCTCGCCTCGCTCGCTCGGCATCACGATTACCTCACCTTCCCGTAGAAGACCATGCTGATACCCATCGGCATCCGATCAATCAGGCAGCTAGCGCAACTAGTTGAGCAAAGGAAACCAGGAACCCTTGTCCCAAAGAAGAAAGGGGAATCCTGGCATGCAGTCCGAGAAAGGTGAGAGACGGGTTCAACACTCTGTTCGGGCAGAGTCTCCTCTACCTCCCTCTCTCCCTCTCTTCTTCCATTATTCTTCTTGTGGTCACCCACTCCCCCCTTGGTCTGTCCCGCGGCGGGCATACAGGCAAGTCCAACATCGTCATGGCTTACCCCGTCACCCTGCATCGGTCCATCCAGCGGCCGCGATCTACAAGGTGGGTAGGTTTGAAGCGAGGGTTGTGAGGGATATTTGATCCCTTTTTCTGCCTCCAGAAGCCGGGGATGTCGCAGAGAGGGAGATGAGATGGTGAGACCACCTGGAATGGCGCAACATGAGCCCATTTCCTCATGCATGCTGGCGTACTCTTGGCTCCTTACCGTTCATGTGTAAGTACTCAATGCAGCGCCAGACCATCACGTGACTTGGCCGTTTGGTCTAATTGGTTAGGATTCTCGTCTACGATATCAGCGCATGCAAAAGCATGACTGAGTAAGGAAACGAGCGGTTCTGGGTTCGAGTCCCAGGATGGTCAACTTTTTTTCTTCTTTTTTCTTCCCTTTACTCTTCTTTCCTTAAGGAAAGAAAGAGAGCAGATATTAAACTTCCACCCTGCATCTCATGGAGGGTGTGAGTAAACATTGAATCTGCGATCCCATGTTATGACCAAGAATGACCAGGTATGTATCCCCCCCCCGGATCAGCAAAGTGGTAAGGGGAATCTCGTTGGACTCAATCAGTTTGCGGCTGTCGAGGAAAGTATGAGCTTTCAAGGCGAATCTGAACAGAGGGCAGGCTCTCTCTCCTTCTTCAAGCAATGGATTGATCGATTTCTTCATATTGAATCATCCAACTTTGTGTGCCGTCTTTTTCTATATACAGGCAAGTAGAGAGAGCACATGTGACGACGATACCTTCAGCTAGAGAGCCTCCTACCATGCACCACCTTTCGAAGGCGAGCTGACGAGCACAAAACGCTATCTCCTTCTCTACACTCTGAGGAAGCAAGCTTCTTTCTACCTTTGATGAGCCTAACGGAATCACGAAAGGGGGGGGAAGTCAATGAAAGCAATGAAAGCGGTTTCCCACTGAGCATAAAAGCTTTCTTTGAGGGGAAAAGGGTTGAATAATGGAGGTGTAGGGAATCTTTTTAACGGTAACATTGACGTAGAGGCCAATCGTGCCACAGTTTCAATCCCTCTCCTCGCTTGATGACCTGAGTCCATTCAGTAGGAAAACTGGCATTGCCTTTACTTTGTAAATGTTTTCCTTAAAGATCTTCCCACCGACCTTCTAAAGCGTTTCCCACCACATTTCGAAGTCGAGCTTGATGCAACTGTTTGTTCAGTACTGGATGTCGCTCTGCGGCTGTCCAGACATTTCCTCTTGTTAGGGGCGCCTTGAGGTTGAACCTCAGAGCCTCCTTCATCTGGCTCATCCAAGACCTGGGTTAGGTCGATAATGTCACCACGACTTCCAGACTGTTCTGAGCCTCCCTCATTATGAATGGATTCCAGTCTACGTATTCGACGCTGAAGGAAGAGGGAAAATTGGAAAAAAGAGACAGGCTCCATTTCGACTTTTCCGAAAGGGAGGTTTTCGATGAGGATGGGGGGAAACTCACTTTCAACGCCTCCATCTGTTTCCTTTCCAGTTCCCTTTGGCTGCGAACCATCTTGAGCTCTTTTTCCAGCTCTTCGACTAGGAGACGAAGCATGATTAAGCTACACCACCATTCCAAACCACTACTCCGGAAAGAGGACCCAGCTGACCCGGCCCCGCTGCCGACAACTTACCCTCTTCTGACCTTTTATGGCTCTGACTATCTACTGCCTGTGGACGCACTGGAATGATTCCGGCAGCTTCCAATGCAGTGCGCGATGCATACAAGAATTCGAACGTGACGTACGGCTTCTTCCCTTCATCGAGGTCTTGCACGTCATGGAAAGTCTTCAAAATCGGTGCGGAGAGCCAAAGAAGGAATCAGAGTCACGAAGACTGAATCCAGAAGCCAGACCAAAGGTGAGGGATGTACTGATGATCATGTCCGAGCCCCTCACAATTCTTCTTGAGATTTCTGGTGGGGAAAGGCTGTGAGTGATGGAGGGAAGCAGGTTCAGAGTCTCACCATCAAGCCATTTATGAGTACAGCTTGACAAAGAGGAGAGTCCAGGTGAAGAAATCAAGTGAAAAGACAAGAAGGCAACATCGATCCTAAAGTTTGACTCACTCGACAGCATGAGTAATCATAACATTATCACGTTTAACCTTCTCCTCTTTCAATGCCTTCTCGTGAAATAATGTTAGGTTGTGAGGGGCAGCAGTTCGAGGCTCCGGAAGACGATATTCATAGCGATCGTATCTGACACGCCACAGTTTGAGTTTTATCTTCCCAAGGGCTTCCAAATTTTGCCGTTCTGTTGCGATCGAGGCATCATCTGGTGGATTGCAAAGGCAGGAGTGAGCCTTTCTACGACAGACGTCAGACAGCAATCGGCTGAATGTTTCTGACCTGTGGTTTGAACCTCGGTGAATCTGAAATGGAGATACGGTGCACCCGGGATGGGAGAGAGGAGGTCTCTAAAGGACGTCTTTCAAAGAGCACAAACTTGAATCCTCGCCCTCATCAGAACTCACTTGAATCTCTGAAGGTTCTCACCAGATTCTACACCCAACACTTCACGCTCCACCATAGAGTCGCACAGAGCATCGTCTCCTGAAAAAGAGTCGGCTATTACGGTACCATAGCTTTGAACTTCCTTCCACTTGTGGGTCCAAACCACCCTGAATTCCACACCTCCCTCTGCAGGGATGAAAACCGCTGTTGGGCCAGGATGAAGGGATTCAGCTCGCTCGCTTCCGTAGAGCAGATCGGTTGATGATGAAGAGCTGAGCAATTTAACTCACTGGCCTTGTCTCCTTCCACTTTGGGTTGGAATTCCTCAAGCCTTCTGCCTTCCTTGCCTACAGCGATCCAGGCTTTGAATCCTTTCGCCTCGACCATGGCTGTGTTTCAAGAAGTCTAGTTTTTTTATCAGTCCTAAAGCTGAGAAAGATCGCTGAGGATGGTTGTGATGATGAAGATGTCGATACGGAGAAATCTTCTTCGTTTCACTGAGATGGAAGAGGGATGGATGGGTTTGGCTTCCAAAAGAAATGAGAAAAGGGGTATCGAACCAATGTAGGAGGGAATCGAGGAACAGAAACCTGCGCAGACTGCTCTGGTTTTTTGGGGAGGAAGGGAATGTGTTAAGGAGGAGGAATTGTGGAAGTGGCGTGGGGGAAGGAGACGGTAGAGAAATGAAGACTTGCCACTCCCTGGATACAGGTCCCAGAACGAGGCTTTCTTAAGGGAAAAAAAAAAAAGATCAAGATAAAGAAAGGGGCAAAGGTGAGTGGCTGAGATGGTCTCATCGGTCAGAACAATCAGTCAATTTGTGAATGCGAGAAGAAGACGAATCTCAACCTCATCAGAAAATGTCTGCAAGGTGTCAATCACCAAGTCTCTCCGAAACAGGATTGGATGATGATATCTGACGACTGGAAGGTGGTATCGGGAAGGGCGCGCCGCGAGGGGTTTCAGGCTCGTGCCCGATCTGATACTACGTGGGACATACCAACAACCAACACCAACAACCAACACCACCGACGACGACAAGGACGCACGCAGGTCATGCGCAGGAGATTGGCAGAAGGTTGGCTCATTCAACTACCCAGAACTGTATGCACGCAGCGCAAATGCATGCTTCTTCTTTTCCCTCCACCACAGAATCACTTGAGCCATTTCATTCTACCATATCTCCTTCCTCTCCAATAACGTCGAGCGCCCCTTTCCCCCTTCCCACAACCTCTCCTTCAAAGCAGGCTCTCGGACAGCAAAGCTTGGCATACCCTCTCGGAGATGGCTTCGACAACCACCTCGTCCAACCCTCGGCAAATGCCTTCCACAGCCTTCTCGTCCTCCTCAGGAAGGATCAGGAAGACGTCCCTGGCGAGACCGCCGATCTCGTCCTCAGCGTCCACCTCATCCAACGCTCTCCCCTCCTCAACCACGTCCTCAGCCTACCACGGTTCGTCGAGGCGGCACTCCCTCTTCGGCACAGAGGACAGGGTCATCCTAGACATCGGCTCCAGGGTCTCAAAGTTCGGTTTCAGTGGAGAGGCTCGCCCAAGGATCATCCTCGACTCGCTCCTCATCTCCCGACCCCCTCCCTCCACCTTGGAATCCTACGCCTCCACAGCATCGACCTCCTCCATCGCCAGCGATGACTGCCTTTGGGATCCAAACTTTGAAATGTGCTCGAGTGAAGCGAAGAGGAGCGAAAAGGAGGCGCTCCTCTTGGCAAGGTTGACCCAGCTCCTCAGGAGAGCATACACGCAGTGAGTTTGGGGTCGTCCCTGGACGCCACTCTTTTCAACTCGTTCGCCGGCGGTCGCTCTTGGCTCAAGGTGTTCGTCATGGTCTCCTCTCCGTTCCCTTAACTAATTGTGACTGCCCATCCCCAGGCATCTCATGGTAGATCCCAAGCAGAGGAAAGTCATCATCATCGAGAACGCTTTCATGCCGACCATCGTGAAGGATACCCTCTGCAGGATCCTTTTCAGCAACCTTCAGGTGAGCGCCCAACATTGTCCTGCAGATCTCCGCAAACACGGTGCGACATTCCAGTGTGAATTTTATACCTCGGGAGACTGACTGGAAGGAACGAACTGGCGTGGCGTGGCGTGGACCCTTCCCCCCCCCCCCCCACCTCACATCCTCTATCTCCAGGTGCCTTCGGTTTCGTTCATCCCTCTGCATCTTCTTGGCTTGGTAGCGACAGGTCGGCTGACGGGACTCGTCCTCGATTGCGGATATCTGGAGTCATCCATCGTACCTGTAGGTGGATTCGTTTTCCTCAGATTCACCTAGTCTATGCCCGTGGAGCAGACTCTCTGCTCGACATGATCACACCCCATTCCCCACACTCTCTTTTTTACACACTCACACACTCACACACACACTCACTCACTCATTCACACATGCTCACACACATACTGCCTCTCTCTTTATTTCTCTTTCACAGATCTACTACGCCAGGCCGATGGTCCAACTCACCAGAACGACACCGAGGGCAGGCAGGCGTCTCTCCAACCGCCTAAAGGCTCTGCTATTGGCTCACGGCAAGTACATCTCTCCCCAATCGACATTTCAAGGTGCCCACGTCAGCACCCGACAAAGGGCTGGGCGCATCCCAAAGGAATACTTGACGCACGACTTCCTGGAAGAGATCAAAGCCAAAGCGTTGGTTGTCGGCGATCCTATCGAAATCCAAGGCGAGAAGCTAGGCAAGCAAGGCGGGACGGTGGCTCCCCAAGCTCCATCCCCCGTCATTGCTGGTCTCCCATCAGCCTTGTCAGGTCCTGGATCGATTCCAAATCCTTTTGCGAGCCAGGCTCGAACTCTACCGGACGTGTTGAGAGATTTCCGAAACTACGACGAGGCAGAGGATGTTGATCTGATGAAGCGGCTCAAGGCAGAGTACAGCAGGCACT